GCATATTTCATATGAGGGTCTTTGGGATCCTGGACCCATTCAGCACATTTGGACCAGTCCAACTTCGGCTCAGCATGTAGGCAGACTCTTCGGCACACTCTGAACCCGTTTCTGAAACCCATTTCATACTCTTCTTGGGTATAGATACGGACTTTGAGTAGAGCCTCAGCATCAGCCAACTTCTTCTTTGTCTCCTCCAAGTCTTCCTTGGATTTCTTCAGCTCTTTGGCGAGCTTGGAGGAGGAACCTTTCAGCTCATTCAGCTCCTGCTGAACTTAAGAAGCCTCTGTCTGAGCCTGGGTCAGTTCTTCTTTTTTGGCCATCAGCTGATCCTCAACTTCTTGGAGCTTAGCTCTCTGAGCTTCAGCAGCATTAGCAGCCTCTGAGAGTTGGACATTCCGGGCTTGGAGCATCTCTTCAGCGGCCATTCTACTGGCTTCAAGAGCTTCCAGCTTTTGCTGCACTTCAGCTTGTGCAGCAGCTCCTTCCTGGATTCGGCTCCCAATGGTAGCCTTGAACTTGGAGATGTCCACTCCCATGTGCTCTTGAAGGAATTTTTCCCCTTCCATCAGTGGGGGAAAAACTTCCTTCTCCATAGCATCGCAGAAGGTTTTAAGGGCTTCAGCAGCTCTCTTTTCATATTCTTCACCCTTCAGCTGCTTCTCTTCAGCTGCTGCTTGCTTCAGCTTAGCAAGCTTTAGCTCCTCCTCAGCTACCTTCTTGTCATACTCGGCAGCATCTACCCTATCTTGTAGGGTATCTATCAGCTCTACAGTGAGAGTCTGATTGTGCACAAACTGGAAACAGGAGCACAAGTCAACCAAAAAAAATAATAATATATATAATAACTGAACCTGAATTGAAGAGCTGAATTGAAAAGGAGATAAAGGCAAGGAGAATCACCTGCATCATCAGCAGTTGGTTAGACCTGGCTGGGTCTGGAACTGATCTGCTGGATTCGCCCATCCCAGCAGTGGACTTTAGCGACCAGATTCTTGCCCTATCTACTTCGGACATGCCAGCAAAATCGTCGAAGTAGGCTGCAACACCTTCTCGGTTCTGACCCCATATGAGGTCCCAGATGTGATCTGGGATTGGAGTTCGGGGGGCCGAGAAACCCATTTCCCCAGACTGCAGCGTCTGGAAGGAAGGGAAGGATGACGATGGAGCTTCTTGAATCTTGGATGGCTCGGCATCCCCCTTCTTCTCAGAAGAGTCAATTATTATGACTTCTTCTTTTTCAAGTGTGAGGACGAAGGCCTCAACCTCTCTTGCAATGTCTGCCGTGAAACCCTCAGCACTGGGCATCACAGCATCCTCATCTCTGTGCTCAGCAGCACTCTCTTGAACTTCCTTTTGGACCCCTCCCTTAAGTTCGGGAGTTTTCTGATCCACCTCCATCTCGGGAGGTGGCGGAGGGGTCTTTGGAGGTGATTGAGGTGGCGGCCGGGGAACCCTCGGCGATCCATTGCCTTCCTCAGGTTCCCTTATCTCGACGCCGATGGTCATCGGCCTCCGCTGAAAGTCATGCGGGCCGATGATGGCCATTCTTCGTCGCCTTTTCTGAAGCGGCTGCTCATCCATGTCTGAGTCTGAAGACTCTTCTTGTGCCTGGTCTTCGGGACGAACAGGGGCTTTCCCTTCTCTATGTCTATTACTCTCTTCGGACTGTAAAAGACAGGGGGGAGGAAGAATGTGAGTAAAAAAAAACACAGACAAAACTAAGTCTAAAAGCTCACCGAGGTCTTCAGAAAAGCCTCGTCTTCTTCAGCTGCCCTAGCTGCAGCTTCTTCTTCAGCAGCCCTGGAGGACCCTTCTCCTCCTTCACAAGCTTCAATAACCCGTGCAACCTCTTCGGCCGTACGGGCAGCTTCAGCTTCTTCGTCTAACAGCTGAAACCAGGGATCTCTCTTCTTCCACCAAGGCTTCTGCCTCTGATACAGAGCAACAACCTCAATTTGGAAATGGGAAGAGTCTAGATGAACTTCCCTATGCCTCGGTTCAGTGATAGAGGGGGCCCGATCAGTTACAACTCGTTCTCGGTTGACGCCAAGACGAGTGAGTTAATGCCGACGTTTGTCTCGTCCCGCTCTGAAAAAGAAGAGGGAAAAGGTCAGTTCAGTTAGGTTGGCACAGCATAAAAGAGCGAAGTGAAAACGGAGGAAAAGAGATAATTAAAAGGCCTCGGCCCCAGCCGAAGAAGCTTACCATCCCTAAACTTTCGGCTGAGGCCGACAGCTGCTAACATGTTCTCTTGGAAGACATAATGCGTATCGGGGAGCCAAGTCTCCGGGATATGCTGCGTTCGACCGCTGCCCCCCCCCCCCCCGGTTCGGCAGCTTGCCGAAGATGTTCTGTTGATTAAGGTTCGGATCTGGGCCGTTATCTTCGGGGGGACCTAAACTTCCCATGTCGGGATCAGGCTCAGCAAGATACCTGGGAGCGCTGAAGACGAAAGGGTGGCCCGGGTCTGTGGGCGCCCTAACCCAAATCCATTGACCCCTCCAGTCCTTGTCTGAAGAGTCGTTCGGCCACATGGTTAGGTACTGGGGCCGAGACTCAATCCGGTACCACCCAGAACCGTGACTTCCGTGCCCACTTTGAATATTTGGCACTAGACGATGGAGCTTTTTGAAGCAGTGCAGGTTCGGCACATACCTGAAGAACTTGCAGACCCATAAGTATGTAATCACCCTTCGGATGCGAACGGGAGTTAGCTGACATAGGGAAATATTATAATGGATTAGCAAGTCTCGGACGAATACGTCCAAAGGGAACCTCAGCCCATACTGAAGTTGTCTTGTGTACACCCCCACATACCCCGGGGGTGGACGATGGATTCTATCGGATGCCACGGGCATTCGGCACCAATACCCATCAGCTTCAAGGATGCCGTAATGCAACTCAATCTGTTCGGCAAACTGATACTGTTCAGCATTCTCTACCCACCATGAGTAGGGGCGGTTCTTTATCATGGCCGAAGCTACTTCAGCATCCTCCCACTCCGAAAACCCAGGAAGGATGTCCCAAAGGATAGCGGGAACTTCATCGTCCCGCCCAGAAGCGCTCGGCCCCTCCGTTCTCTGAGGAGGAGCCGAAGAAATGGGAGTCGCCCTAATCCCTTCAGCAGGGTCAGGCTCTGCTCTCTGTCCATTCCAGGTCCCAATCCTGTTCTTGGGATCGGGAATTGGCCTTGCTCTTCTTGGAGCACGGGTTCTACCTCTAACTCCTCTCACCATGGATAAGTTTCGAAGAAAAAAGAAAGTCGAAAAAAAAGGGGAAGGAGTTCAAATTCGAAGAAAAATAAACTAAAATCAAAGGAATTTACCTTAATCTGAAGCGAAAGTTGCCGATTTACGAATTGGTAGTGACGAGTCTCAGTTTCTAAGCTTAATGCTCGGGGAATTTGCGAAGTTTTGACGCGGGTTCTTGGGACTTTCTTAAGAATTTTGGGTTTGTGTTGGTGAATAAGTGAGGAGAGATGACGCGCCTCTAATTATATCTCCAGAAATGGGAATTCTGGGAGTCCGCGTTTCAATTTCTCTTAAACATCCCACTAAGTAACCGTTAAACACACGACCTTGCGATTAAACCGCCCATTATCCGTCCAACTTCCACAATTATTCGCCTTAACTGTTGTTATCTCATTAATTACGGTTTAAATTCAAATTTCTTGGATTAATTAAATCATTCACTTACCTCCTTTTCTGATTAATCAAACCCGACCCGTCATCTTGCCAAATCGGGTCTGGGGGGCAAGTTGTTTGGGTCCAATTTAGTCCAATTGGGCCTAGTCATTAAATGATCCAATTTAAAGCCCAAGGTCAAGGTTCAACTCTCCAATTGTGCTAAAGTCAAAGATCAGTCCTCAAGGCAAGTCAATTGGGCTAAGGCCCAACTTCTCCATATATGCAAAGGTATAAAAGCTATCAATATTACATTTGTACATTCATTCAAACAAAGCCTCAAGCAACTAATTCTCTTGCATAGCATTCTCTTTCTACACACTGTACTGACTTTAGCATCGGAGGGGCCTTCCTCGGCAACACCCCCGAGGCTAGTTTACGTGTGTTTACTGTGCAGGAAACCTTCGGCCCAACATCACTTGGACCGAATCCAGTCTTCTCCACTTCATCGGACCTTCGACAAGGTCCCATTGTTTTCACCCGAAACAATATCCTTAACTTCGATTATACCCTTTTGAAATTGATTTTGTATCTTAATCATTTGGCTAATCATTATTGTTATTATATTTATTTATGCTTCTATAATTTTGGAGGTTGAAGGTTTTGTTCCATAAAACTAACAGTACTAGTAATTGTTATATGTTATAGTCGTACTCGTAGCTGTAAGCAATTGTGGTACTTCCTAGGTTATATGTTACTTGTTACTTCGTATAAGTTAGAGGTTAATCGTCAAAATAGTTATCTAAACAATTACTGTTCGGTAAAATCAGAAGTTAGATTAGTAAAACATTAAACAGTAATTGATCTAATCCATATTTTCTTGCCTCCAAAATTGTTCTTTCTGCAGTTGAAAGTTCAAACAGAAAGACACGTCACTTAAAGATTTTCATAAATATACAAATAACAAGCTTTTAAGCTGTATAATGTTCTTACTGTCCAGAAAACAAAAGCAGCTTGATGTTACTACTACTAGTCTACAACACCATTTATAGGGCCATTGCACTAAAATTCCAGTAAAAAAAATTTCCTGCCTGTTAACTAAAGTGCAAGAAAACCCATCTTTTTGTTTACTTAAAGCACCCATTTTGCATGTGAGATGCTGAATTAGTACACTAAATTTAGCTAAGACAGCTTCAGATCACACCTCTTTTGACTCTTATGCATATATTAACCCAATTCTAGTAACTTAAATTAGCAGGTTACATCATTATTTCTGGTACTAAACTTATTTTTGATTGCTCGCGTAATTTTGCTGTTGTTAAGGAGGATGTTTTGGCTCATTTTTTGGTTTTAGCAAAGATGAGAACACTGCACATCTCTCAAACAATGCAACTTGTTGAACGATTTACTGAGAGGGTCAATGAAGGAGGGAAATATACTAGAGTCACATTGATCTTGGTTGTTTGTTTCATAAGTCTGCCTGTTTTTCTGATCTTGTTTAAAGACTCGAAACTTCCACTTTCTGAGCCATTTGATGCAACTGAAAAACCTTTGAAGGAGAGTTCAGCAACGCTTTTGAGAGGAATTTCACTGGATGTTACACCATTGGCTGCAGGTAATGGTCCTATAACAGCACATTATGTACAAAGCTGGTCTTTTCGGTCCGGCCATATGCATTGTGCCAGGCCGATTAAAGGCTAACTAACTGAAGATTAGGCCGCAAAACGGGCCAGAATATAGCACCCGAAACCAGCCTGAATGTCAGATTTGATTTTTTCTACACTAATATATTCATAGTTCCTTCTAGTTGTGTGCTTGATTTCAATTTTGTTATGAAATACAAAGTATGGTTATTAGTTTATTACAAATTTTTGGTTTCATGTGTGATTACATGAATTGCTCACAGTTTGTCATTGATTTATTCACAGATGGACATAACAGTTCGTCAAATACTTCTATTTCTAGCAGCAAGCCTATTAGTGAGCAGCACAAACAGGTTGATGAGCTTTTAGCTTCAGGATTTGCTAAAGAATCATGCATAAGCAGGTACCAATACTCTTCATACCATAAAAACAAGCCTTATAAACCATCTTCTTATTTGATATCCAAATTACGAAGCTATGAAGAACTCCATACACGGTGTGGGCCGCAATCATTGTCCTACAGAAAAATTATAAGAAAACTATCAAGTACACAGCACATACATGATAGTGAGACCACACCATGCAAGTACTTAGTCTGGACACCTGCAAATGGATTAGGAAATAGAATGGTTAGCATGGCTTCGGCTTTCCTATATTTCCTTCTTGAAAATCGAGTTTTCCTTGTTGAGTTTGAGGCCGATATGGATGGCCTCTTTTGTGAACCATTTCCTAATTCAACATGGCTTCTACCCAAAGATTTCCCTCATAAAAACCGTTGGAGTCGACTACCAACGTTTAAAAACAGGGCAAATTCAGGGGAAAGTGGGCTTTCGCCGTCTTTTGTACACCTTGACATACAAAATGGGCACGGTGATCATAATATCCGGCATTTTCATTGCAATGAAACTCTTGTCTCCCTACAGAAAATCCCTGTTTTGATCATAATATCAGACCAATATTTCGCTCCTTCGTTATTCATGAGTTCATCCTATAAGGAAGAGCTGAATAAAATGTTCCTAGAGAAGGATGCAGTTTTTCACCAATTAGGACACTACCTTTTTAGCCCTTCCAATGAGGCTTGGGGACTAATCACAAGATTTTATGAAGCTTACTTAGCTAAAGCAGATGAGAAAATCGGCCTCCAAATCAGGGTCTTTGATCATCAACACATTCCATCCCGGAATATAATGTCACAAATTTTATCATGCACCCAATCCCATAATATACTACCCTCATTGGATAACACAAAAAAATCTCTAGAATTTCCATGGCAAAACACAGCCTCGAAATCAAAAGTTGTACTGGTAGCATCATTATATCCCGAGTATGCTGAGAGGTTGAAGAGTATGTATTGGACAAGGCCAACAACGAATGAAGATGTGATAGGAGTTTATCAACCAAGCCATGAAGAATACCAAAAATTTGGTGACAACATGCATAACATGAAAGCATTGGCTGAAATATATCTGCTTAGTTTGTGTGATGTGTTAGTGACTAGCCCTCAATCTACTTTTGGGTATGTTGCCCATAGTTTAGGGGGGTTAAAACCATGGATCATGGTAAGTTTAGGGAAGAACAAGCACTCGGATCCGCCTTGTAAACGAGGCATTTCTATGGAGCCTTGTTTTCATACTCCTCCACAATAGGATTGCAAGGACAAGACTAGGATTACTAACTTTACCAATCTTTATCCTCATATAAATGCTTGTGATGATTTGTGGTGGGGAATTAAGTTAGTTGATTTATGATCTTTTGAGCTTCAATAATGTATTTGTAATTATTTCATTATGAATCCTATTACTATTGTATTTTTTTTGAATTGTACAATTGATCAATATATACAAAGTTACAAAAATGACTTTCTTAATTAAAATACAAAGTAATATTAGTGTGTATTCTCTATCAATATGTGGTATCTGGCTTCAAAATATTAAGATGAACTAGATAGAAGAAGACATGCATTACTTTGGGCCCTAAGGAGTTCATTGTTCAGCCAATCCAAAATCTATATTGGGGGAAAAAAAAAGTTGTTTGATCCATCTTTACAATAATGCACAAAATGCATGTAAACAAAGAGTGGGAAAATTAGGTCCCAAAGTAAACAATATGACAATATGTAAATGCAGTCTAATATGCCTCTAGTTGCGTGAAAAGTTTACCATTTTCTATTATTGTGTCAAGGTACGGGTGTTCAAAAAGCCAAATGGGGTTATATACAACTAATCCGGTTTTAAGGTTAAAAAATTATTGAAAAAGACAAAAAATATACATGAAAAAAAACTTCTAATATTGGTTAGGTCTATTTGTTGATCTCCAAGTCTTGAATTATCAAAAAAAAATTCTTTGATTCGATTTGATCTAGTTTGGATATGAGAAGACCTGGCCTCAAGGTTTAATTTGAATGAATAAGCATACGTGTTGCAAGTACAAACAAATTGGGTTGAGTACTAATTAGGTAAATTCAAATTTGAGCTTGAACCAAGCTAAAATAATTTGTTTAAGCTCAGTTCGTTTAAGGCTATTGTATTTGTGACAGGCTTAAGGGGTCGTTTGGTTCGCACGGGGTAAACGTAATGGAATGAGCAAAGGGAATGGAAAAGAATGGAATGAAAATACCTTTATATTCTTTATGTTGTTTGTTTTAAAAACAAAGGGTAACAGTCCCACCACCACACCACCACCACACAACCACCTAATTAATTCACTTTCCACCTTTTCCAGCCACCATCCAACCACTATCCATCCACCAAACCACTCGCCACACCTCCCTAACCATTCGCCGCCCTTCGTCGGCCCTTCCCTTCCCCTTGCCGGCCCCCGCGCAGCTCTCCCCTCCCCCGAAAAACATCCCTCAGCCCCGAAAAACCCTAGAAACATCCCTCCCCCGAAAAACAACCCTCACTCCCCGTAAAACCCGTCGTCCAGCCCTTCCCCACCCTCGAAACCCTAGCGCCTAGGGTTTCGAGGGTGGAGGAGGGCCGGTCGGCCGTTTTACAGTGAGGGGGAAGGTTTTTTTAGGTTTTTATGGGATGGGGATAGGGTTTCCAGAGTGCGGACAGCCGGCGAGGGGAAGGGAGGTGCGGCGAGGGGTGGGGAAGAGGCGGCGAGTGGTGACATGGCTGGCCGTGGTGCGGGTTTCCGATGATTTGGGTAGGTAGGAGGGTGGTAGTATGGTAGTGTAGTGGTGGCCAGGGAATGGGAATGGAAATACCTAGGGGTTGGGGAATCAACTTAGAAGGATTTGGGGGAATGAAGAGAGTAAAGGGAATGGGAAAAAAGGCCTAACAAACAACAATAAAGGGAATCAAGGCAGTTGATTCCTATTCCCTTTGATGAATACCCCCAACCAAACGACCCCTAAATAAGTTGATTTCATTGATAAGCTTTTTCATAATTAAATAGAGTTTTTTTTAACAGATGAACATTACATTTTTGGCATTAGAAAATCTCACAAGTAACTAAGTAAGTATTATAATAATCAAATCCAAACTGTAAAGCCTAGCATTTTATATATTAAATGAACAAAATGATTTAAATTCACAATTGTGAATAAGTTATAGTGTTTGTCAAACAAGGGTTTAAATTTTCTTATCAATGAGTTTGTTCATGATTTTATAAGAACAAATATATCTATATTCATGTTCAACTTCATTAATTAAACGTAAGGAATTATAACTTATTTAAGCTAGACTTATTGATCAAAAATATTAAACAAACATAATATATATATTTATTAGTTGAGATCGAATCCAAGTTGTTTCATTAAAATTTTTGGCTTGTTTACGCCCCTATATTTTGGTGAAATCAAATTCAAAGTATTAATTTTTTTTTTTTTTTTTTTGACACTGAATTCAAATTATTACTGAAAGTAACTTAAACTCAAACAACTAAGAGAAAATAAATAAATAAAATGTAGTACGCATGCATGTCAAAACTCTCAAATTAAACTATCATGAATTCGCACTAGCTAGTTAGGTATGATGCAATCAAACATGTATCATGGACTATCATCTCCAAGGTTAACACAACACTTATAAAATTATAATATAAATGCAATCAAAGCATGCTGAGATATAAGAAATAATCCAATAACAATGAAACTATATCTTCATATCTTATCATACCTTATAAACAAGATGTTGTCGATTAGACTTTGATAATAATGGATTCTTATATAAACACCACACCTCACTCATCACAACCACCATGTGCACTAGTCGTGCAAAAGCATGAGAGATGAGTTTACCAACTATATATAATTCAAGTCTTAGATGGGAACACTTCAACAAACTATTGATCTGAAAGACCAATATATAAAATAAAATAATTAAACTAGTCAATGTAAATATAATAAATATTCATCTTTGCTTACAAAAATAAGTGCAAAAAGAAACTCGTATTGAAGTATATATATGTTTAACATTTCCGGCCATCAACAAACTTACCTTCACCTTAAGTTCTCTCAAGCATATATATGCATGCTTAACAAAACAGAGTAAGAGAGTAAATAAACTATACATAATGACATTTCTTAAGTTCTCACAGAGTCACAGGCATGCATGCTCAACAAAAAGTAAAGAACTATATAATTTGACATTTTTCTAGTGTTCTTTTTAGAAAGGTAATGTTGGGCCCATATTTCTAATAGGCCCGTAAGATATAGGGCCGCCACTAAGAAGACCTAAGCATCAAGCCAAGAGGAAGAAGAATCAGGCCACGACTTGATTGATACAAATAAGGTAATGAAATCAATCAGCAAATTAATAAGGCAATCATACCAAAAATACAAGAAAGCAAGAAGGAAAGAGGAATAAATCATGAAGATCTTCCCCTTTTGAATATATTCTGTAAATCTATGTAAACCCTAATAATCCCTAGGTATAAATAGCTAGAAACATGTGTATAGCCTCATTCATACATACAAACTCGAAACTATATGCAAATTACTTAATAATATTTACGTCTATTTTGATCAAGGAAGCTGTCCTTACTCACTATTGTCATCTTTACACTTATTTCTTTATTAAATCTTAAGTTCTTTATAGTTCTATTGTTCTTTGTTATTTTGATTGTTCTTGCAAGATTGATTATTAATACCCCTAAAACATTAAGCAAATTCCTAGAAACCATCTCTTTAAGATTTATCCTAAACAATTTGGCGCCCTTCGTGGGGCTGATAACCAATTGACCTGCCAAAAACTCTCCAAAAAACCACAAAGAGCATCTCACAATCATGAATGGACATCTAGTACCATTCACCATAGCTAAGATCAATGAAGGAATGAACGCATTCTGCCAAACCTTAGACCAACTAAAAAGCCAGATTGAAACCTTGTTAGCCCGAAAAGTCCAAACTGAGGCCAAACTCCCCAGTTTAACCAAACAGAATGAAGCCCTTTGTAGCCAAATACATTCGGTTGCATCCAAAACAGCCAATACCTGAAAGAATACTGATGGCATAGCCACACAACTTGACCTATCAAGAGCTTTCCATACCCCAGGCAACGGGGAAAAAGGTTATAACAATAGGGAGATGTCCCTGGATGAAGGTTTTATTGATGCAGGTACCTTTCAGAAAAGCAAGTAAGCAGGAACTGAGGAGGGAAAGGTAGAAAAGGTAGTCAAGGAGTACCTTAAAGCTTTCGAGGCCAAGATCGCAAAGATTCCTGGAGTGCCAAAGCCAATGGAGGAAGAAGCTATTGATGGCTACATAGAGTCACTCTTCTCAGAAGAAATTGCCATGGTAGAAGTGCCAAAGAGGTTCACTATACCCACCATGGCCATGTACGACGGCACAGCAGACCCTGATGAGCACGTGTCCTACAAACAGAAAATGATGACCAGTTCTATCCCCAGAGACATCAGAGAAGCAATTATGTGCAAAAGCTTTGGAACCACACTGTCAGGTCCATCCCTAACTTGGTTTATTAATTTGGATAATAGGACTATTCGATCTTTTGCAGGAATGGTCAACCTATTCAAGATCCAGTTCGCTAGAAGCAAAAAGATCGAGAAGCAATCCTCAGATCTGTACAGAGTAGTGCAAAGGCATGGCGAATCCTTGAGAGACTACCTAGAAACCACCCCTCTAAGATTTGTCCTAAACAGGTTAAATGAATATATCTTGTTATGATTTTATGAAGTTAAGGTGGGCGTGTTAAAATTGAAGTATCTACCTATCTTTTATGAAAATCAAATTCTGAATCTCATAAATGCAAAGTCGAAATAAATCATGTAATATTTTAAGATACTAGTATATAGAAGTCAATTCAGATAATAAAGTCCATATCAAGACATCTACAATCTAATTTAACTTTTACATTTAAGTTGTATAATTTTCAAGTAACTATGTCTCGTACACTCTATTATCATGATCTTTAATTTGTTACAGTTATTCACCTATTATAAGCATAAGCATATCCTATACCATTACCAAATATTTAAAAAATTATCTTTTAAAAAGGATAAACCTTACATGAGGTATTATTCAAGACAAGCGTTTCTTATGCCAAATGGTAAAGTCGTCACCATATAAAAGAGTGTCTACCTACCAAAGTGCTCGAGGTGCGGGGGGGACTTAAAGAAAAACGAAGAACTCATACAATTATATACAAATATAAATTTTGCAACTTGCACTTAGCTTAAGCAAGTGAGGAACAATTAGAAAAATGTGGGGTATAATCTAAATTGTACATATTCCCACTTAACAGAAAAACAGAAAATCCCGCCAACTTGTTGTTGCTCTTTTAAATAATCCGGAAAAACTAATGTGATTGTATATTATTTATAGCATGTGGCTTTAACGAAAGAAAATAACAAAATCAACTTTGAATTGAAAGGTAAAAAGTACCTTTTACGTAACAACCATCTTTTCTTTCTCCAACTTCGTTGTCTCTTTGTACATTTTCATCATGGTTTATTGATTCCCAAGCAAAAGCATATGATTTCTCAATTCAATATCATAACCAAATTCTAAACCAATAAAATTACGATATCCCATCCAACAATGATCCCACTAAAAATGGTGATAGAACTACGAATTTGATTTGTTGGTTTTTTAGTTTACACAAATTCTTAGTTGTTCCTGGATACACTTAGAGTTAGGTAGGTGTATCACGCATATATATTTTTTTTTAATTAATTTTGTCTATCTAATCTTTTCCGATCCAAATGAGTAAAACAGATAAAATGAGAAGAAAAAAAAATCTCGTTATATACACCACTCGGGAATAAGATAAAGGTGTGTAGTTAGCTTAGCTTATTGTAAGAAAAAAAAAATAATGGATCACTTTCATTATCAAATGGATAGGAATTTTGAACTTATACAAAATATTACACGAAGTACATGATATGCATCAATATATGTCTATTCTTTAATGATACCTCAAAAATAAGGCCCGTTTGGTATGGTGTAAAATGTTTTAGTGATAGATGAATTTTCCATTTTTCTTTGTTTGGTTTGTAAAAGAGTAGAAAACAATTTTCCCAAGGGTGGAAAATTGCATCTAGAATGATGGAAAACATTTTCCTTTACAAATTAAGGGAAGCCACACTTTCCTGAGGTCCCTCCTCCTTACCTCCTTTTTAACTTCCCTCTCATCCATCCTTACATTCCGGATACTATTTTTTTATTTTTCTTGTATGCAACCAAACAAAGGAAAACTAATTTGCAACTATACGTGCTTTTCCTTGAAAATATTTTTTTTTATTGAAAGGTTGCTTTTCCTTGAAAATATGTTTTGCATGAAAACTAATTTTTCATTGAAAATATTTTACATCAAACCAAACGGGGCCTAAAAGTATATTCTTTAGGAAATTGAAAAAGTTCAAACTAAGTTCTGTTTACCTTATTTTCACTTATTTCAAATCTAATAAATTCAGATAAGTTTAGGAAAAATAAATTCTGATAAGGGTTGCCCAAATTCAAATTACAACTAAAATAAGTTTTAATATGGTCTAATAAGTTCAGATAAGTTCACATAAGTAAAAATTAGGTGAATAAAACACTTTCTAATTGGACTTGCATTTTGAAGTCAAAGAAGAAATTAAAAAAAACAGACTATTTAGTTTCAAAATAGTATTATATATTTACAATGCATGAACACATTGCCAAATTCATGGTACAACTGTAGCAATATAAAAGTAATAAATTATTATTATGATAAAAGAAAACTAAATTCATCTCGACATAGTTACTCTTTAATTTAAAATTTGAACAGATTTTAATTGATTCAAACTTTAGATTATACTCTGTAATTGACATTATTATTATTATTATTATTATTATTATTATTATTATTATTATTATTATTATTATTATTATTATTATTATTATTTTATTTATTTATTTATTTTTTTTTTTTTTTTTATGGCCGACGTGCTTCAATCTTAGGTTGCCTCTAATATCCACATCACGTCATCACTATAATCCTAATGTGTTTTTAGCGACTTCCATATTAAGCAAGGTCGAATGGGTCGATGAAAACAATTATACAACGTTGTTATTCCATATACAATAGAGATGCTTATCTTTGTTAAAATAAAAGAGATACTTGTATTTATCAACTCCAAATGCGACAGTTACGGATCATTTGCTTCTTAATAATTTTTTTAAAATAATTAAATTTTATATTCCTTTAATTAGATTAGACATTGGAATTAATAAAAACAAGTCATTTTACACCACCTTCCCATTAATATTTGTCATCTGAGCTTTATTTAATTTTTTTTTTGGTTGTGTATGTGCACGAAGTATCATAGAAGGCAATTATATAGACAATTAGAAAGTACTCCATATTTAATCACATGGATATAATGGAATTTTCGCTTGCTAAGCTTTATATTGCACACAAAGAATATATTCATTTTTGTAAAAGTATAAGTTCATGTTTGGCCATATATAAATACATAAAGCGTCATTAAAGACAATTATATTAACGAATAAACGATATTCGATCTCATGTTTAAAACGACATCCCCTAGCTAAACTTTAATTTATGACAACAAACTCTACAACTAATATTATCATTGGTGCCATTATCCACCTTCTTGTTCTTATCTAGTCTTACATTACGCATACATTTTAAAAGCGTCAGCATCCTTGAATTTCTCACATTCTCTTCCTTCTTTTTCTTCCTCAACAACTGTATCTCTCTCCTCTTTTCTCTCTGTTTTTCCTCTGTTTTTCTTACTCTGCTTTCACATTTCCCCTCAGAAAAAAAAAATGGGTTCTGAAGGAAGAAACATTCTAGTTACAGGAGGAGCAGGTTTCATTGGTACACACTGTGTTCTTGTACTACTTAAACAAGGATTTCGGGTTGTTATTATTGATAATCTCGATAATTCTGTTGAAGAAGCTGTTAATCGGGTCAGAGAATTAGCGGGTCCTGAATTAACCCAAAACCTTGAATTTCATTTGGTATATTTTTCAACTCCTTTTTTTTCTGGGGTTTTGATTTTTGGTTCAATTCTGCAATTATTGGTTCAGATTTTTCTGGGTTTTTCATTTTTGGTTCAATTTTTTTTGCAAATTATGACTCATATTTTTCTGGGTTTTTTTAATTCTATTCTATTTATATTTCAGGGTGATCTCAGAAATAAGGATGATGTTGAGAAGCTATTTTCTGAGAACAAGTATGTTATTAATTTTAATATTTGTACTTTTCTCGGTTGTTTTCTGGGTTTTTCTGATTCTATGCTTCATGGTTTAGCAATTTTTTTTGGAATTTGTGAATTATTTCATGCTACTTTTCTGCAAAGTAATTTTGTGTATGTTTTCATTTTGATGGTAGTTTTGATGCTGTAATTCACTTTGCTGGATTAAAGGCTGTGGGTGAGAGTGTTGCACATCCATTCCGCTATTTTGATAATAATTTGATTGGATCAATCAATTTATACCAAACTATGGCCAAATACAACTGTAAGAAGGTGAGCATTTTAGTCTGATTAATTCAATTATCTGTTTCAAACTCTCAAATTCAGCTTAATTGAATGGCTAATAATCCTGAAATTGATTGAACAATTGAATAAATACAGTTGGGTTATTGCACTGTACTTTTGTAATATGCTGATTACAGTACTTACTTTTGTCCATAAGATCATATAATACAGGGGATTAGTCGTCTTAAAATTGGATCACTCTATGTTAGTTGAGTAAATGGTTGGAATACATAAGCTAATGAAGTGATGAGTACTTTGTAGATTCGCCGTGCCTAATCGTTTAGCACGACGAAGTACTTATGATATACGAGTCTTCTTATGATTTTCTACATTAGTTCAAATAATGATGTTTGGATCGTTGGTAATTTTGGATGTATAGTTGGTGTTTTCATCATCAGCTACAGTTTACGGCCAGCCTAAGGAAATCCCATGTGTAGAAGATTTTGAATTGAAGGCTATGAATCCTTATGGCCGAACCAAGGTACTAACTCGAATATTTCGTGGTGTTTTCACATATTATTGTCTTAGAATTAGGCTGATTGTATTGCAATTTGTAGCTGTTCCTTGAAGAAATTGCCCGAGACATATCAACTGCAGACAAAGAATGGAGCATAATTTTGTTGAGGTACTTCAACCCTGTTGGGGCTCATGAGAGTGGGAGACTTGGTGAAGATCCTAAGGGTATCCCGAACAACCTTATGCCTTACATACAGCAGGTTGCTGTTGGGCGACTGCCTGAGCTCAATGTCTACGGCACTGACTACCCTACAAGGGATGGTACAGCGGTATGTAGTATGCTATGCTGTTTTCAAATACTGTGATCTATGTTAAGCCATATGATTCAGATGTGCCAATCGGTTGTAATTGGACTTCTTTGCTCACAGATTCGTGATTACATCCATGTGATGGACTTAGCTGATGGTCATGTTGCTGCTTTAAGGAAGCTGTTTACTGCAAAGAATATAGGTGACCTTTCATTGTTCCTTCAAGATCACTTGTAAAGCCTAGTTTATAATGAAATGTTTTAATCTAAGTGTTGCCTTGATACCTTCCTGAATTAGTCCTTTGACATCGTGTTTGATCTATTCTTCAGGTTGTGATGCCATTAACTTGGGAACAGGTCATGGTGCTTCCGTGCTTGAAATGGTTCAGGCATTTGAGAAGGCCTCAGGAAAGGTAATATTCTGTTTCAGTTTTCGGCTGTTCCCTAGCTTGTAAATATTCATCAATTTTCTGCAAGCCTACAACAATCAATTTCTATATGTTATTTTCAGAAAATTCCAATTAAAATGTGTCCTAGAAGATTAGGAGATGCAACTGAAGTATATGCCTCAACCGAGAAAGCTGCAAAAGAACTCGGCTGGAAGTAAGTTTCTCAAAAAATTCAGATATGCCCTTATTAAGCTCGGTCTCATTATGCTAACAGAATTGTAGTGTGCTTAGCATTATCATCTAAGCTGATCGTGCTGAATGTACTTGTTGCAGGGCAAAATACGGCATAAACGATATGTGTAGAGACCAATGGAAATGGGCAAGCAGCAATCCATGGGGCTACCAAGGCAAACCTTAAAACAATATGGTACGAGTATAGAAGTAATGAAAGAGTTCCAAAGATTTATACCCAAGTGCCAAAGATTTATCAAGTGTTCAAAAAGCTCCTATTGATATTTTTTTTTCTTCCTATGATGTGCTACAATTTTGTTAAAGTGCACTTGTGATTTTCAGAAAGTAAATATATGCGCTATTTTCCTGCACTTTTTTTCTGGTTCAAAGAATCAAAAGTGTATCAAGTTGATGTTGTTGCGACTCACTCATAATTAAGAAATAGATATATGCGCTATTTTTACTCCTCCAAATCTTTTCATATCTTTTCATTTGTGACTTATTCTGTTATCCATTTTAGGAAAAGTAGGCCATCTTAGTTGTCATTTTCTCTAAGACCCCACTGTTTTTTGGATAATCATCTTATCTTACTTGAGAGGATAAACTCCGTAACAAACACCAGCAGAAAACCAACTTTACCCATGCTAATGAATGTACTCTTCGAGAAAAGAAGGAAAAACGGGGATACTAATTTCCCCCGGGGACATTTAGTGTATGGAGTACCCCCTTGGTGCCGGAGTGTTCACAAGCGATTATAAATTTGTGTTGATCAATGCGTTTTATGTGTGTCTGGTTGATCACACCGTGTTGTCGGGATTACTTATTGAAGGGTTATTTATTTTTGGGTTATTCTGTCGGTTAAGGGTTACTTATTCTGGGATTTTCTGTGTGATGGAACCCCTGAATAAATAACTCCGATCACACGGCATGACCAGCTACATATGAAAAGTTGTGTTATAAATTTAGCTATTCACAATTGTGTTGCTACCTCCGTTTCATATCATGCACAACATTTACTAATCAAAAAGGGTTATTATGCATTATGTGCAACAAAATTTTCTTTCCTATTTTAAGTTGTCATTTCTCTTTATCTCTCTCCTCATCACATGCATGATGCATTACTATTTTTCTCTCTTCCTTCAACACTCACAAACAATTTTGTCATGGAGTCCGTGAAAACTCATTTGTTGCACATAATATGAAATAGAGATAGTATATACTTTGAATTTCGTAATCATAATTCATTAGTGTAATTTTAAGTGTAATTTATCTGTCATATTACTGAAGTAGTTTATGACATCTCTAATTTATTGGGTGCAAATAGAATCATCCCTATCATATTGTTAATCAATCCGTTTAGAAACTGTCAAAATAATTATCCAGCGTTAATTGTATAAATTCATATGAAAAAGGTATCATATATCATACCACCGTGGCATGTGCTAAACATAAGGACCAGAAATAAATCACACCTTTAACAACATCCTTCATAAGAGGATAAATGTGCATTACTCCAAATTAAGTCAAAGTAGGTAACTCTCAGTATTATCCAAACATTTTACCACATATGGATACGGAGTTTGCAAATTCCGGCCTGAAAACCAAATAATTTTGGGTTTCGATGAAGAAGGGTAGAGGTCATTCCAGCATTCCCCGTGGTACATGGGAGGAAGAGGTTGGCCACGAGGCCCACGAGTAGCTGAAAGTGAGAAGTACGATGCTGACTTTGATAATCCGCTAATTAATTGTGGGTTGCCAAAATCCAAATACAATACCCAACTTTTTTACTTTCAGCCACCAATTTCCATTCTTGGGATCCTTCACTATTGAATGTAAATACTGAAATAAAGTGAAAACTAGTTTTAACCCGGATCATTATATGTATATTATAAATGAAATTTTATAATAAAAATTATGTGTAAAATACAAATATAGATTAAATAAAGGAGTAGTCTAGTACAAATAGTATAAAAATATTTAAGTAAGATCAAAAAGGTAATCTCACAAACAATGGAACAATATCGGTGCGTCGTGATGCAAATCACTAACTTGAAAACGAATTTTCAACACAACCAAGGTGCTCAATTGTATTCGCCGGTACGTTTCCTAAGGTTGACACACCACTTCCACACAAAGACACTTTTGGGTGGAAGGTATGTGTCAAGTAACTTATGCCCAATAGAGAATGTGTTTAGACTATTGTGCTTGATGTATTCTTCAAGTGTAAAAATCAGAAAAAAGGCTTCTTCTATTTATAGATAAACATGAAAAAAAATAGAAGAACAATCCCAAGCATCAAGGGAGGTGAATAATCATCTTATACATCCTCTTAAATGGGGGATTATGAGAGTTACTTATCAAGAGAATAATGGTGGTGATTAATCATCTTAAACATCCTCTTAAATTGGGGGTTGGATTACTCAAGAAATTAAGTGAGGGAATCCAAAGATCAAACCGTTGGAGTCCAACGGGCCAACACGCGTCCGATCGGGTGGCTGAACCTGATGTCTTGAATTCCCTTACTTTATTCCAACAACATTTACTTGTACTCGTACTATTTGAATATATTTTTCCAATCATTATTGAACATCAAAATATATTATCCAATACCTAGTATTTAAATTTATTAATTTGCTTCGTTCGACTTCAAGTTTATGAATATAATTAACTCTTTTTAACAAAATATTGTAGACATGAGATGTGTCATTAGAGCAGTGGTTGAAATTAAAGTATAATAAGCATGGGGTCATAGGTTTGAACATTAATGCTAACAATTCATCATTTTTTTTAATGAATTATAGTAATTGTAAGACATGGCACCATATCATTTGCCTATTCATGATGATACGTGGCGGGCTCATATCTTCCCATTGAGTTTTAATATATATATATATATATATATATATATAGATATCGTTAAATATTTTTATAATAAATCTAAATACAATGGCACTCGCCTTTTTGGCTCTCTTAACACTAAAAAAAAAAAAATAGTGTTGTATTCACATCTAGTATATGGTACAACTAGGGATGATAATGAGCCGAGCCTGTTCGTGAATAGCTCGAGCTCGGCTCGGTCAAAGTTCAATCAAAGCGCGATTCATGGTGGCTCAGCTCGAGGTTTGAGTTCGGCTCGAGACATTAATGAGTCGAGCTGAGTTATGCCAGCTGGGCACTGAATAAGCTCGATTATTCTTTTCCATATAAAAAAAGTTATGTATATAAACATAAATGTTTATCATATATATTACACAATTTGAAGCTAGTATTTTCATTATACAAAAATAAACTCTATCACAAAATTAAAATTTTAATAATGAAATATAAAGAAGACAAGTAAAAAACTAAGGATAGTAATAAGTCAAGGTTGTTCGTGAACGGTTTGAGTTCGACTTGGTCAACACTTAGTCAAAACTCGGCTCGATCAAAGCTCAACTCGTAAAGTTTCGAGCTCAGCTCGAATTCAAATAATGTTAAACGAACACGAGTCGAGCCCGAACCGAGCTGACCATAGTTCGGACTCGACTCGTCCGATTAGCACCCCTAGTTACGCAACCAAATGAAGTACTCGTGCTTCATGTATAGAATCATAGCCTTCGTAGATTAACAGACAGTGGATGATATTTATTTTTTTTTGTTTTTATAATTGAAAAGGTAACACAGGATTAGTAGTCCCCGCATTTCAGTAGATGATATTATAGTTTAAATAGTTTTGGAAATGAGATCAACAAACAGGTGCTAAAAGCCTATAAAATCCTTTGCGCAGCTTTCTATATCTGCTGTCTCATGATCTTGACAGATGATGAATCACCCAACATCAACGCCTCCTTACATTCATATTCGATCAGCAGCAGCTGATACATCATTTATTTTAGGTGCATCAATTTCACACTGATGTTAAAGTATCCCGAACTCTATTATAAATTGCTGATAGCTAAACTAATCGAATTGATGAGTTAAATCAAGTTGGTAATTTAATGATTTCCAAATGCATTAATCTAGTTGTTGCCTTGTTAGTATGCTGTCATTATTTTTTATCTAACCAAATCAAACGTTAAATTGACAATCATAGTGCTACGTATATTCTAAGAACCAAATATACGATATTATTGTGCCAGATAATTTTTCTTTGATTAGAACACTTTATTACACCTAGCTAATTTTCAATTCTGATTATTAGAATTACAAATAATACGAAAATGATATTTCAGTGTAAGAAGTCGATTTGATCATACAGATTACAGAGTAAATACGAGTATAAATTAATTGTTAGAAAAGCAGATATCTCGATCTATGCATGTATGCAAAGTGGACTACTCAGAGTTGTTCAAAGTTATAATTCCTCCATTCTAGTAATATTACAACAACTGGACTTTTGCACTATTCATCACGCTTGTTTGATCACATATTATGATTTATAAGTAAAGTAAAATATAGTCATGTGGGGTCATGTTAGATTCGTCTCGTAAAATACTTTCACAATATCAACCTTTTATAATTTTTACTCTTATATAATTATAGATATTTAACATATAAAATATGATTTGAGATGCGTAATTTCATTCTTGTTGCAATATTTGTTTTAACGGAGGAAGTATACTGTATGCAAAATTTTCCTGTAATCCTCAAAAATTGTCCATTTCATTTTTTTTGTTTTGTTTTGTTTTGTTTTTTTTTAAGTCATTGAATTAGAAAGTGATTTTGGTTAGAAACTTCATTTTGATGGCTTTACAACTACTGTAGTTTGGGTTTAATGTTTAGACATATCTGCAATTTAGGAGGTGGAGCCCAATCTTAACATTAAATGGGCTGAGAAATATTCTAGGCAGACTGACTTGGGTACATCTGCACATGCGACCAGACGGAAAAGCCAATTGTGCCTTTAAGCAGCCCATTAATGTTGCCTTGTGTTGGTGATTTAACCCACTAGGAGATTCCTTAAAAATAACCTACTACGAAATCTACGTTTTAGAATAATTGATATAATTTGACTTTTTTTTTTTTATTTATGGTATGTATTATTTGATATAATTACTTAGTTGAGCATCAATCAATATTATTTCTCATCGAGAAGGTTTTAATGTTTTAACAACATATTTTAAATAAATAGAAGGAAAATTTAACAGGAATAATCCAACCTTTACTGCATTCTCTCAAAATAATCCCACCTTTGGATTGAATAATCCAATCTTTATTACCTTATTTCTCCTAACAAGCGTACGTGACCGGTTTCCTAGAGATCAGGTAAATTTTTTTTTCCCTCTTGTTCTTTCTTCCTTCTACCTCCTCACTGACATCAATAGCTGGATGCAGCCCCAACCATCAACAATCAACAATGGCTTCTCCTCTCTCTTCAATGCCTTTCCACCTTCAAACACAACAAACCTATCGTCTTCCTTCGATCCCACAATCACAACCAATCCCCTCTCCAACTTCTCCTCCGACCACTATACAATACTGCTACCCACCCCGT